CTGAGACCCCTCTGCAAGGGGATCTCCAGTGGCCTACTAATGGGCTTTGGATCTCCACTCAGACTATTTGCTCTTTTATGATTGACATAACTTTATGCAACATAATGTTCTCTGAGTCCATCCATGTCATGAGGTACCTTAGCTTTTTTTTAAAGAAATGTACAGTATTCTATAGTGTATGCGTACCAAAATCTCTTTCTTCTTTCTTCTACTGATGGGTTGTTTCCAACTTCTTGCTTTGGTGAATAGTGCCTTCAAAGAACATACCCAGCAGAGGTATGGGTGGAATTTCTAATTGCAGTGAAGTAGGGCCATTATTATTTTCCATAATAAAAAAATAACAACTCACTGCCACCGAGCTGATTCCAACTCATGGCAGCTCTGTAGGAGAGTAGAACTGCCCCTTATCAGTTTCTGAGACTATAATTTTTTATGGGTATAAAAAGTCCCGTCTTTCTCAAATAGAGTGTCTGGTGAGTTTGAACTGCTGATCTTGGGGTTAGCAACCCAACACGTAACCACTATGTCACCAGGGCTCCTTGCTTTCCATAATAGCTGTACATATTTACAGACCCACCAGCACTATATGAAAGTTCCAATCTTCCGTAAGGAAATTTTTTCACAAACTTTTTGAAGTCCTCTTGTATTTATTTGTGGGTGTTGTCTCAATTTCCTTCCCACCTCTGTTCAGCTTGATCATCTATATATGCTTACTCACAGATTGCTATTACTGTCTCTGCAGGATTATGTATGCAATAGTGTTTATTTTCATTGCATTTAATTCTTGTGCTATTCCCAGTATTTTTCTTTGCCCTGATCATTTTATACTGACCTCCTTTTTATTATATATTGCCTTTTCCTTCTCCCAAATGAATACGTAGCTACACTTCCCCTTAGTGATTTACTCTCCCTTGCCCCAGGTAACCTTCAAAGAACGCTTCTTTGTGTGTGTAAACCTTTTCTTGACTTTTGACAGCAGTGGTCCCAGAGTATTTGTCCTTTGGAGACTGACCAAATTTCACTCAGCATAATGTCAACACGTAAGAATAAAATTCACTCATGTTATGAAAATATCTTGAAGATTTCTTTAATGGTGCATAGTATTCTCTTGTGTGCATGTGCCATAATTTGTTCATTCATTGATCTGCTAACAGGCACTTAGGTTGTTTCCATCGTTTTGCGACTATGAATAATGCTGCAAAGAACATAGGTGTGAAGCAGACTTACAGACAGCACAGGTTATTCCACTCACCGGAGAATCCTGGAGTTAAGGATGCCAGTTTTCTAGCCAGTTTCTCCTTTTCCAGGGCACTGTCCAGTTTTAGTGGTCTGAGGTGAACTTTGAAAATAGAGGCTCTTCCTTTTATGTCTGGTGGTCCTTTAGAATTATTTTTAAGGGGGGAAAATAATCACTATGAAACAGTTACATCTATCACCATAAGAACTAAACTGACTCTAGTGAACATCATCTCACCAATGAAGATCTGTCTATCAAAACGCCCTGGCCTCATCAGGGCAGGGTCCAGAATGTCTGGCCTGTTGGTGCCAGCCAAAATGACTACATTTGTCGTCGTATTAAATCCTGAAAAGATAGTAATAAAGATTTAACCATTAGTATATCAGACAAGGAAGAAAGAGTGTGTCCATCAAGAGTTTCTAAGTGAGCATTATTGCTTAGGAGGCAACAAGCATCTCTTAAGGGTGATGGAAAATTTGTTTGCAGTGGTGACGGCTGTACAATAAAATGAACACAATCTCACTGGAAACATTGACAAACAAATATTTTATGAGGAGTACCAATGCATTCATAAGTTCTGGTGATGCAAACGTTAAACATCCAGCTGCGAACCAGAAAGGTGGCAGTTTGAAACCTTTCAATGGCTCTGCAGGAGACAAACCCTGGCAATCTGCTCTGTAAGAATTATAGCACAGGAAACACTACAGGGCAGTTTGACTCTGTCCTATCGGATCATTATGAATCCGAATCATTTTGCAGCTCACAAACAAACAAGTAAATGTATTACTTCACTAAATATGCTTTCCAATTCATTTTCCAGTGATTTTTCAAGACACAAACTTGAATTCGCCCCTATTATTCACATATCATTATCCAACTTTTTTTGTATTTACAGTAATAGGGAAAGATCTACTACTCAACTATTCTGCCCATTAATGATACATCTGGCAGCAGCAAACACAGAAGTGGGAGGCTAAGCGTTATGATAGAGGTGATAGTTACAGTTGTGTGTCAATTTGCCTGGGCCATATTCTCAGTGGTTTGGCAGTCATGTAATGATACAGTTGGACAGGTATATAATCATGTAACTTAGCACTTATGTAATGATATAGTCAACTTTCAATTTGTGATCTGATGTAGTTATCCTCCAAATTCACTAATACTAATTTTCACATAATGACCCGGATATTGAACCCAAACCATGTCAATATGTAAGAAATGGTTCTATTTTACTTACTATTTATCTTATTTTATTGGCAATAGTCATATATTTGATTCAAAACTTTAAGAATCAAGTCTCTAAAAACAAGTTACCAAAAATGTTATTCAACTACAAACTTAGAATATGTTGATTATTTTTTAAAGGTTTCAAAATACTAATATTCAATTTGAACATGCCGTGTCTAAACAAATTCCCTGGGTCACAGGACAACACAACACAAATTTAGAGAAATATGCTAACTTCCGCATAAGTAATCTCTTTTCCAGATTCAAGAGGTGGTTTCATTAGACATTTCTCAGTAATGTCACAGCTGCAGACCCTTCTCCATCAGGACACCCTTAACTAGGGAAGTTCACTTGCTTGACTTCTCCCAAATGTAGTGTTCTGTTCTAACACATCACTCTAAGTAGAGACTGACCTTCAGAATGTGTAGGGGACTTTTCACTGTGGGGTTTACACCAGGCTTAGCAATCTAAAGCAGTTCAACATTTCTGCACACAGTCAAGTGTCCACATGTATTAACAGGAGGATGAAGTCAGCCTACAAATAGATCTTACTAAATAACAGGAAAAAAATGGGACTAAAAGGGAAAGATTGACACTTTCTAAAATTGCCAGTTTTACACCTGATTATGCGTGGCGTTTTCTTGATGTTTCAGAATCATGATTTTGATAATGAGAATAAAATTATTTTCTAAATGATTTCACCAATTTTTCTCATTCCACATCAGGTATAAATGCCATTTTAACACCAATAATAATAAAGTTACAGCCATACGAGAATCCGAGGGGGTACCCCAAAACACCGATGCTCATTTGATTTTTTGATGTGAGGGGCAGACTGTTAATCAAGCTTTGTATTTAGAGGTTTTGGATAGATTGCATAACAGTGTGTGACAAAAAGGCCTGATTTGTGGCAGACGGAGGGCTGATTTTCCCACCACAACAATGCACCTGCTCACACAGCTATCTCAGTGTGCGAGTTTTTGGCAAAAAAACAGCATGCCTTTCTTGCCCCATGCATCTTACTCACCTAACCTCGCTCCATTCCACTACTTTTTGTTTCCATCAATGAAGAGGGACATGAAAGGAGAGCAAATTGACCACATGGAAGAGGTGAAGAAAATAAATGAAGGTGCTGTCAGCTATCTATATAGATGATTTTGAAAAATGTTTCCAAGAATAGAAACACAGATTTGACAAATGCATTAAATGCAATGGAGAGTACTTTGAAGGTGATAAGGTTATTTTGTAAAAAAATTTAAATACATAGCTTTTTTGGGGGGAGGTGGGTGGTATTTTCAGTCATTTTCTGTACCCCCTTGTATTCTGCTGTCATCTACACTGGTATGGTATCAACAGCAAACTGAATCAAACCCAACCCACTGCCACTGAGTGAATTCCAACTGACAGCAACCTTGCATTGGGTTTTGAAGATTATCAACATTTTCCTATGAATTGGCTGGCTAGGTTTGGACATCAACCTGAGGGTTAGCATGAAAATACTAAATCTGCAGTACTGACTTGGGAAAGGTTGTTTGTTTTAGAGTATGCTTTTCCTTCTTTTGCACTTACCAGTGGCATGAGGATTGTCGTTTTAGAGACATATAAAACAATATAAAACATCATTTAAAATACAAAAGACTTGAATATTCACCATCCATTTCCACAAGCAGTTGGTTGAGTGTATTTTCCTGTTCACTCTGCCCTCCAAAATTGCCTCTTCCTCTCTTCCTTCCCACAGCATCTATTTCATCAATGAAAAGAATACAGGGGGCATTCTTCCGAGCAAGGGCAAATAAGTCTCGAACCTTAACAAAAGTATAAACACTAGAGTCAAGCTTGACTAGTGAGCAACATTCATTCTTCAAGTAAGAAATAGACTGTCAGGTTTCCTGTCCCAGAGGAAGGAAATCTTAGTAGCACACATTGTAAAAGTACACATTTGAGTAGAGGGAGAAAAGAGTGAAATAATGAGTGCAAAGTAGCAGCAAATGATTAATGACTTATTGGATAATTAACTGAAGGTGAGCAAATGTTATTTATAGAATCCTATAACTACAACTATATGTAATAAATACTAACAATATCTGCTATTATTACAGCAAAAAATTCAATAGCATATACTTTTGCGCTACAAAAAGGCAATATAATAGAGCTGTAAACTTTATATTTGGTTTAAAAGTGTAAACTACCCTGAGGCTCACGTCTTATGCTTAAGCAGTTACTAATAAGCTAGTACATCCATGCAATGGTTACACATAACCCACTCAGTTTGTCAGAAGGGCTCAACACCCACCCCAAAGAGGGCAACGGTATCCCCTGCAGCCCAAAGCTGATGATTAGGTCTTAGCAGCCACATATTGCCCCGCTGAGTCCACCACTCTCAAGAATGACTCATTTGCTGAAAACAGAAACCAATAACACAGCTTCAAGTGGGTGGTTGAGGGGGAAGGAGGAGGCGATGTAAAGAGGCGTAGGCAAGAAAAGTATGTTTGGAGACTGATTATGGAAGCGATTGTACTATCATGTTTGACGGAACCATGCAATGATATGACATTTGCATGAATTCCCAAGGTAGAGCAAATTTAAAAAAAAATGTATAGAAGGCATGGGTTTTGGGCTGGCACTAAATATTAGCTGTACCTTAATAACAATTAGTTATTCCATCATAGCCCTGCTCAACACACAACTTCATGAAAAGATCACTGAAGATAAGAATGCTACAGCAAAGTGTGGTGAAGAAAGTACTGTAGATGGTGGTCCGACTATCAATCGGAATAGTGTCTGGGGTCTTAAAGGTTTGTATTCAAGCAAGCAGCCATCTAAGCAAGGAGTCAACTAAATCCACACAGAAGCAGCACACCAGCTTGTGTGATCCAAAGATGATAATTACAATATTTAGGTATGGTGAAAAGGAAAGTATAAGAGCTAAAGTTATGAACACAATTTGCAGAAGGCAATGGAGGACAAAGGGAGCCCAAAATCCATCTGCTGAGTACCTAGTCATTAGACTGAGCCACTGGCAGACCGGCTCTAGCCAAAGGCAAGAATCTCAAACAGCCTTCCTATCATGCAGAAACCACTGTAATCACGATCATGCTTGATCAACTGCAATACTTAGGCAGTTGACCCCCCTACAGATACGCACTAAGTTTGTATGTCTTACTTGTCCCACGACAGAAATTTCCTCCCTACCCTTTTGAATGTTGATGGGGTCTTTTCCTTCTAAAGCATTATTTGTATTTGTGTCTTAGCATTTGTGTCTAAAGCATTATTTGTGTTGTATACTACTATGATTTTAGCCATACCACTTTAGTACGATTTTATTTTTTATTATTTTCTGTTGGGTTTCCCAGCTGTAAAGCACCAGAGGAGTGGACACATAATGAGAAGAACTGACACAAGGGGTTCTAGGGAAGGCAGAGGTGGGGGTGGGCAATAGGGAGGGAAAGGAGATTTCGGGAGCAAATAATGAAAGTGGTAAGGGAGAGGAAGCACTAGAACTGATTGTGATTGCACAACTCACGTTAAAGGTGATTTATCCAATGGGGTGGGGGGTCCCTCTAAGATTGATGTGGTTGTGACTGTTCAATGCCCCTTGATATGATCAAACAAGTGAACTACTGAATTGTATGCTACGTAAATTATGTCCCAGTAAAGCTGTTGGAAAAAATGTAATTCATAAAAAATAAAATCATAACAGTTAAACTTAAGGATTGTCTGTTCTAGCCCCTCTTCATCACTTATGAAGTCAGCCTCTTAACTTCTGTTCCCTTCTAAGAGACTTAGAGTCAAAGCCTTTTCTGGTTTCTCTACCCTTTTCACTTCAGTCACCATAAATCCAAGTCTAACTCATCATCCCCACAGCTAGGGTTTCTGGATTTTCATTCCTACACTACTCTGAGCACACCTCTAATATGTCATGTTCCTCTCTGCATTCCAGATGTCTGATCAATGAATATTCATCAAGCTTGTATTGGAATATTTCTTTAATTTCTTGTTAGAAACGACACTTGGCTATATACCTACAAACCCCTCAAATAAATAGCAGGGGTTTTAATCTACCACTCCAATTACTACCACTAAATAATTAGGTTGAGAAATAAACAGCCTACTCCTGAAGCCTTGCTGCTGGCAAGTACTTTCTCCCCACTCAATGCAGCGGTCTGGGCCTGGTGCCTCAGTGCAGTCTGGCTCTACAGAATGTGACTTTTCCTCTCCGTGCTTCACTCCCTATCTTCTTGATTGCTGTGCCTATGGGATTCTTGCTCTCTCTACTCCTTCAACCACTTCTCCTAGTCTTTAGCTCTATTCCAGCACACTACTGCCACCAAGTCTATTCTAAGCAAATCTGCCTGAAAAGCACTTCCCCCTCTGACCGTCATCTTACAGACTCAAGCATTTGACATTAACAATTTTTCAATTTCCCATCTCGTCACTCTCTAAATCCCATTGCTCTTCCATCATCCATGGTTCCCTGCCTGTTCCCACCTTGCCCATATTAAATTCGTTGGCCCATCCTTATAAACATTAACTTCTCCATGCTCTCCTTTCTTAAGACTTATTTGCCTGGAAAAATCCATATGAATTAACCTACTATATTTCAATTAATCTAAACTCAAAAACCCAACCTCACTGTCACAGAGTGGATTCCAACACACAGCAACCCTATTGGACAGGGCAGAAGTGCCGTGTGAGTTTCTGAGACGGTAACTTTTTAAAGAAGTAGAAAGCCTCATCTTTCTCCTCTATTGTGGCTGGTGGTTTCTTTCAAGTGGCTGACCTTGTGGTTAGCTAATTAGTAAAGATGGTATTAATTGTAAGAGCCATAATTACTATATGTCAGAAAGAAAAACAAAAATAAAACACTGCCAATTTATAATACAATGCTTTCTTAACTGGCTACAAGTTATATCTTGATATTGTAATACTAAGTACTACAGTAACTGTAATAATACTTTGCAATTCAATGACAGAAAAAAGCAACATTTTAAATACAGGTAAAATATAAAGGAGTAAGCAACTTAAGCATTTATTCAAAATTAATTCACACTCACACTTCCTGAATTCAGAAGATGCTACTTAAGACACTATAATATTGCAATGGGAAAAAATTGAAAATACAGAACTAAACTTTTGTGTTTATCTACAGTCAACTGATTTTCTACCAGCTTGTCAGGAACATCTCTACTGGGGAGGTGAAGAGGAAGTAGTCTATTATAAAAGGAGTTCGAACAACTGAAGAGCCACCTGTGAAAGGATAAAGTTGTACGGTCAGTAATTATTTTAAAAGATGAGACTATAACAGGGCAGGGAAACTGTTATCTTGTTGATGTTGTTAGGTACCACTGAATCGGTTCTGACTCATAGTGACCCCTTGTACCATCCTCACAATTATTCTTATGTCTATGCCCAACGATGCATCACTCCCCACTATATCAGTCCATCTTGTCGAAAGTCTTCCTCATTTTTGCTGCCGCCCTGGTACTCTACCAAGTATGATGTCCTTCTCCAGAGACTGGTTTTTCCTGACAACATGCTCAAAGTACATGAGACAAAATCTTGCACTCCTTGCCTCTAGGGAACATTCTGGCTGCACTTCTTTAAAGACAGATTTGTTTGTTCTTTTGGTAGTGCCTGGTATTTTCAATCTTCTTAACCAGCACCTTAATTCAAATGCATCAATTTTTCTTCAGTCTTGCTTATTTAATGTCCAACTTTCATATGCATACCAGGTGATTGAAAATACCATGGCTTGTGTCAGGCACACCATATTTCTCAAAGTTAACATTTTACTTCTCATTACTCTAAAGAGGTCTTGTGCAGCAGATTTACTTAATGCAACTCATATTTTGATCTCCTGACTGCTGTTTCCATGAGCATTGATTGTGGATCCAAGCAAGAAAAAATCCTTGACAACTTCAACCTTTTCTCCATTTATCATGATGCTACCTACTGATGCAGTTATGCAGAATTGGTTTTCTTTACACTGAGTTGTAGCCCATAGTAAAGCATGCAATCCTTGATCTTCATCAGCAAGTGCGTCAAGTCCTCCTCCTAACTTTCAGCAAGCAAGGGTGTGACATCTGCAAGTCACAGGTTGTTAATAGGTTAATAAATCTTCCTCCAATCTTCCTCACATAATACAGCTTCTCTGATGATATGCTCAGCATATAGACTGGGTAAGTATATTGTGAGCATACAACCTTGACACACTTTTCCTGATTTAAAACCATGCAGGATGTTCTTATTCTGTTCACACAACTGTTTCTTGATCTGTTTACAAGTTCTGCACGAGAACCATGCAGTGTTCTGGAGTTCCCATTCTTCTCAAGCATATTTGTAATAGTCCAAAGAGTCAATGCCTTAAGAAAGTCAATAGAACAAACAGTAAATACAAGAAAATGTCTTTTTTGATATGCTCTGCTTCCAGCCAAGATACATCTGACATCAGCAACAATAGTCCTTGCCCCACTTCCTCTTCTGAATCTGGCCTGCACCTCTGGCAGTTCCCTGTCAATGTATTGCTGCAACGATTGTCTGATACTCTTCAGCACAATTTTAGTTGCATGTGATAATAGTGATATTGATATACTTTGAATATTTTGATAGGCCACCTTTCTTTGGATAGGTACACATATGAATCTCTTCCAGTCAGTTGGACAAGTAGCTTTCTAATTTCCTGGCACAGATGAGTAAATGCTTCCAGTGCTTCATCAATTTGTTCAAACATTTCAATTAGTGTTCCATCAATTCCTGGAGCCTTGTTTTTGGCTAATGCTTTCAGTACAGCTTAAACTTCTTCCTTCAGCACCGTTGGTTCCTACACATATGCTACCTTTTGAAATGGTGGAATGTTGATCAGTTCTTTTGGTTTAGTGACTGTGTATTCTTTCCATCTTCTTTTGATGCCTCTTGCATATGTCAATAATTTGCCCACAGAATCTTTCAATAAAGCAATCCAAGGCTTGCAGTGTTCTTGGATTCTGTAAGTTTAAGATATGCTGAACATGTTTTGGTTTTTTAGGTCATTGCACATTTCTATATAATGTCTGACTTTGTCTTCTCGAGCTGCTCTTTGAAATTTTTTATTTGGCTCTCTGACTTCATCAATTCTTCCATGTTTCTTAGCTACTCTATGATTAAGAGCAAGTTTCAGTGTCTCTTATGACGACTTTCACTTTAATCTTTTCTTTCTAATGTTTTTAATGATCCTTTGCTTTCCTGATGTCCTCCCACGGCTCATCAGGTCTTCTGTCATTAGGGCTCGATGCACCAAATCTGCTGAGATGTTCTCAAAATTCAGGTGGGAAAGACTCAAGATCATATTTTGGTTCTGAAACACTTGTTTTAATTCTCTTTAGCTTCAACCTGAACTTACTTGTGAGCAATTAATGGTCTGTTCCATCGTCAACTCCTGGCCTGATCTTAGCTGCTGATATTGAACTTCATTTTCTTTTCCTACAGATATAGTCAATTTGATTTCTGTGTATTCTCTCTGGAAAAGACTTCCTTTTGTGTTGAAGAAGTCATTGGTCTTACAATATTCTATCATGGGATCTCCAGCTTCATTTCTAGGACCAATACCGTATTTTCTAACTACTGCTCCTTCCTCTGTTTCTAACTTTTGTATTAGAATTTACAATAATTATCAAAGCACCTTGATTGCATGTTTGATCACTTTTAGAGTGCAGACATTGGTAGAATTCGCCAACATTTTCATCACTAGCTTTTGTGGTTGGTGCATAAATTTGAACAAGAGTTATAGTGATTGGATTTTCATTAAGGTGGATAAATATAATCTTATCACAGACAGCACTGCACTTAAAAGACTTCTTGAAATGTCCTTTTGGACAATGAATGCACCATTTCTCTTGTCATTAGCAGCATAGTAAGCCATAAGACTTTCTGATTTAAAATGGCCAATACCAGTCCACTTCAGCTCACCAATACCTAGAATGTTGATTTTTATCCATTCCATTTCATTTTTGACAATTTCCAATTTTTTTATATTCATATTTCATACACTACAAGTTCCAAATATCTGTTAGTATCTTTTTGCACCAGTTTTTTCTCATTTTGAGTTGTGCCACATCACTTGTACCACCTTCATCTGAAGGTCCGAAGGCTTTACTTCCACACCATCGCGGTCTACTCCACTCGGACAAGGCGGCCTTCCTCCGTGATATCTTGAGGGCCTTCTGATCTGCACAGCTCACCTCCTGCTCCATCTCTGACAACCTCCCGCTTCCTTTCCTGAAGCTTTCAGTATCCGAGAATGTTTTGATTCTGTCCATAAGACTTCCTGTGGTTAATCTCTTAGAAGAGGGCAGCATACTCCTTCTTTATAGTGGGTTCTTAGTCTGAGAGCTCCACGGAAGCCTGTTCATTTTGAGTGATGCTGCTGGCATTTGAAATACCAGCACGATAGTTTCCAGCATCACAGCAACACACATTACCACAATACAATACACTGACAAAGGGGTCAGGGAAAGTAGATGAATGGAAATGGAACAACCAGGGGAGAAATAATGAGAATACTCAGACACTGTAAACAATGTAACCAATGTCACTGAACAATTTCTGTAAAAATGGTTGAAATGGGAACCTAAATTGCTGGGGAAATTCACACAAAAAATTATTTAAGAAAAATGAAATTATAACCTTAACTCACATCATGTATAAAGGTTAATTTACAGTGAATCACAGACGTAAATGTTAAGGGACAAAACTGTTAGAAGACGACATAGTGGTAAATATTCATGACTGAATTTGGCAATAGTCTTAGATGTGACATCAAAGCACAAGCAACAATGAAAAACAAGTCAAAACAAATAGCATGTGTTGGTGAGCATTAAAAAAATTAAAACCCTCACACACTGCTAGCGGGAATGGGAAATGCATTTGCTGAGAAAGTGTTTGGCAGTTCCTTAAAAAGTTAAATAACTTATCATGCGAGCCAAAAATTCCACTTCTACATACATACCCAAGGAAAATGAAAACCTATGTTCACAGAAAAACTTGTACAACAATGTTCACAGAAGCATTATTCACCATAGGCAAAAGGTAGAAGCAACCCAAATGTTCATCCACAGAAGAATGTACAAATAAAATGTGGTATTCATACACTGGAATATTATTTGGTAATAAGTGGAGTGAAGTACTAAGTCATACTACAACATGAACTATTATACAAAATGAAAGACTAATAAAACAAATCACACTCACTACCCTCGAGTCGATTCAGACTTATAATGACCCTAAGGACAGGGTAGAACTGCCCCTGTGGGTTTCCAAGACTGTAATTCTTTACAGGAATAGAAAGCCTCATCTTTCTCCTGGAGAGCTGGCTGGTGGGTTCAAACTGCTGACTTTGTAGTTTGCTAACTGCGTAATGCCCAATAACCTAATTATGCTAATTGGGTTATGTCCAATGCATAACCACTACATTACCAAGGCCCAAAGGAGCCATATATTGTATGATTCATTTACATGAGATGTCCATAGAGACAAATCCATAGAAAGTGTTTTTCAGTCATTAGCAGGACTAGAGTTAGGAGTGACTGATAATAAAGAAAAAGGCCCTAAAATTGGTAATGGTTGCACAAATCTGTGACTATAATAAAATCCATTGAATTATACCCTCGCATATGTACATTATATCTGAATAAATCTGTTATTTAAAAAATCTACAAATTAAAGCCATTTCTTGAAATCTATAAATTAAAATTACACTATATAAAAGACCACAATGATGGTAGAGGTGGCAGAATGTGGTTAGTAATAAAAAGCATGAAGTCAGCTTGGATTGAAAGATCCCAAGGTAGCAACTGGTTAAACAGGGCTTTGGGGGATACAGAGGTAGATGCATCACCAGAACAAAATAGAAGACTTACTCTAGCTGGACCCACACCAACAAACATCTCCAAAAACTCAGATCCACTAACTGTGATGAAAGGGACATTGGCTTCTCCAGCTGTTGCTTTAGCTAAAAGCGTTTTCCCAGTGCCTGGAGGACCTGTGAGAATGGCACCCTTCAAATAAACAAAAATGACATTTAGTTAGAATTTCAGAATGGTGAACTGTACATTCCCTAATAATTCCAAGGTATTAATATCTCTACAAATCTTACTGAAATACGCTAGAGGGGGCTTCACAAATTTTGTGCAAACTTTTCATATCTTCCCCCCCCACACACACTTTTCAAAGCATCTTCATATTTCTCAAATATTTGGAATATACAGAACATTTTAAAACTATTAGTAGGAAAAAATTTTAAAATAATTTTATTTTTTTAAATTTGTGTATTTACTTATTTTACAACACAAACTTATCACCTCCAATACACTTAATACATCAGTCAAATCTTCAATTCTATACTTGGAAACATTTTTCAAACTCATCTGTTGGGATGGCTGACAGTATTTCCCTTGTTTTTTTCTTCACCTCTTCTAAGTCCTCATATTATTGTTCTTTCATGTCCCTCTTCATTCGCAGAAACAAAAAGAAGTCACACAGAGAGCCGTCAGATGAGTCAGGTGCATGGGGCAAGAGAGGCATGCTGTTTTTTGCCCCAAACTGGTGCACTGAGATGGATGCATGAGCAGGTGCACTGTTCTGTGGCAAAACCAGTCCCCCATCTGCCATAAATCAGGCCTTTTTTTGTCGCACACTGTTATGCAATCTTTTTAGAACCTCTAAATATAAAGCTTGATTAATAGTCTGACCTGGTGGAACAAACTCGAAATGCACTATCCCCCACATATCAAATGAGGATGGTCTTGATCTTTGATTTTACTTGACAGGCTTTTTTGGGTGAGGTGACAATGGCGTTTTCCACTGGCTTAATTGATGGCTGCTTTTGGGGTCATAAGAATAGCACCATGTCTCGTCACCAATTATGACATTGGAAAAAAAGGTCTGGGTCACTTTGGAGCTGTTCTTTCAAAGCCCAGCATTTTTTCACTCGATCCTTTTTTTTCCTGGTCAGTCAAAACCCAAGGCATAAAGTTTGCAGCAACGCTTCTCATTACCAAATTTTCCATGAAAATTCACTAAACCAAGCTCCCAGATAGTCCAGATAACTTCCCCATCTCTTTCATAGTCTGTTGTCAGTCTTGAAGCACAAGTGCACAAATTCTGTTGACATTTTTGTTTGTTCGGGAAGTTGACAGACGTCTAGAACAAGGTTTATCATCAATGGACATTTCACCTTTTTTGAATGAGAAAATCCCTTGTATAAGTTTTTCCCATAGCACTATCCTTGTAAGCTGTGTTCAACATCACAACAGTTTCTGTGGCATTTTTCCCAAGAAGGAAACAAAATTTCATAGCCAGATGCTGTTCTCTTAAATCAGCCATCATAAAAAATGAGGTTTGAGTGAAACCGCTTTTATGAAAAAATTCACTGTGACCAGAGAGAACCATCCCAAGAGATGCCACTGGGTGCATTAACTCAAGAAGTTGCTCAATGCTTGCCTAGCAGGGAAAATATGCCCATCAGAGCTTTTTTCCCCTTTCCTGGGGGCGCAACCCATCTTAATGTGAAATCCTGATTACTTTTCATTTTATCCAGTTTTTAGAGTAGGTTCTCAGCTCTTTAGTTTAATATTACATAAATGTGACTTATGGTTTACTCAAATAATTCAAGGAGATACAACTACACTAATTTGCTTAATTCTTTGACATAGTCCATTTATTTATAAAGTCAATCTCTCATTTCTACTGTCATACATAGGTTAGTGATTTTTAGCATGACTGAACTTGTGACTTATATCTAACTCTATATACTTTGCTTTTAGATTTATTTTCCATTAAGTGACTAGCTATAAACAGTGTCCTCTACTATCCATAAATATACTACCACAAATTCTGGGTGTGGGGAGCTGAAATTCAAGATATTTTCCCCAGCTTCCTAATAAAACTTTAAGATTTTAAATTTTCTTCTTTTTAGTTTTCAGAAATGAAGCAAAAAATCTAATGACCCATGAAGAACTTAGTTAAAAAGAAAAATTATGTTTGATGAAACAGTATAAAATTATTTAATATGTAAACAGGTATAACATATATAACAGTAAATTTAAAAGTTATAAAGTGACTTTTTACCCATACAAATGAAATTTAAATATTAAGGAAATGATGACTCCTTTCTACAAGGATTGACTTAAACTTCATTAACATTTAACTTTACTTCAAGTTTTACTATTGTTTGAACTGTGAAATTTTTAAAAAGACTTAAATATTTTTCAATTCATTCATTCATTTAGCAACCAAGTCATGCACCAAGTAGCAAGTTCCTATTCTGTATATAGTAAGAGGGCCTGGGCCCATGGCTAGCAAGTAGCAGAGTAGGGTTATGGATCTTTGCTTGAAGGAGAGAAGGTGACAGGGAGTTCTATGTGGTCTTTTCCTCCATTGCATCCCTTGTGCTGTGAACAGTAAAAGCAGAGTAGGTAGTCCTCTGAAATCTCTTGGAGCAGTGAGTGACTGCATGAAAGACAATAGGGTGTGATATAATCAAGATATTATGATATCTAACTCAGACTACAGAGAGGGTAAAGATTCTGGAGGGCTTGCAAGAGGGAGTAGCACAAATCTCAGAAATCTACAAACTACCTGGCAGAAGACATACTCAAAATAACTAGCCCCCAAAGACATGAAGTTAAGTAGAGACTAGTCAGTTAAGAAACAGGTAGCAGGGGAGTCATCTGTAATAAGTAATTAAACTTTAGATACAGTTCAAATGACTTTTGCACTAATAAATTTAAAACATTGTCAAAGTTCTTACCTTTGGAATTTTTGCTCCTAGGTCTTGATACTGCTTTGGGTTTTTCAAGAAATTCACAAATTCCATTATCTCTAACTTTGCCTCTTCACAACCAGCCACATCTTTAAATTTCACATCTATTTCATCTTTCAAGACTTTGGCAGTGGTTTCTCCAACACTGAAGAGCCCACCCATTCCTCGGCCTGTTCGTCCAATGCCAGCAGGCCCTCTTCTTATGGTGTACAGTAAAAATGCAATTATGAGAACTGTAGGTAACATGCTCAGCAGAAATGAACTAAAGGGAAAAATACACAACATTGTTTTCAAGATTGTTAATATTTTTTAGTGTTTGAAAGATAATTTCTGATAACCATTGGGATGTATTTGCACATATTTTCTATTTTAAAAAATGAGCATTCTAATATTTTATTCGAGGCACAAAGGATTTTAGTGTGTTATGTCACTGAAGCAGAATCACAAAAGATCAAAGAAAATCTGTTCTGAACACATATGCTGGAGTCTGGATTCCCAGACCTCTGAGACAGACACAGGTAGCAGGCCAACATCACCATAGATCAAAGCATACCCAATCAAAACAGGATTTGGGGTAGCGTTTTCACCTCTCCCCTCTTCCTCCCTCCCTCGATAAAGCTCCACTGTCCTAAGATTCCAGTACCTTCAAGGCAGACATAGGCTGCAGGCCAACACCACCACAGATCGATATATACCCACCCAAAGCACTTGCCACTTGACAGACTCCACCACCCCTACATAGCCCAGCAGACCACATACCACTAATAGGTGCCACAATGCCCTGGACACTGCAGTCAGCTGCAATACTTCCAAACAATAAAGAAAAACAAACACAAAAAACTGAAAATCACCCACTGCAGTAGACTGATTAAAAAGGGCCTAGAATTACTAGGGATAAGAATTCAGAAGAACGGTACTTGGGTACTTTCAAGGCATGCAGGGCATGCATGTGAGAACAAGAGAAATAATTGAAAAACTAAAAACTCTATGTGAAAAGGAATACCAGAAGATAAACAATATTGTTGATGTTGTCAGGACAGGAAAGTTATTGTTGCTGTTGTTGTTACGTACTGTACAGTCGGTTCGGACTCACAACAAGCCTAAGTACAACAGAACAAAACACTGCCTGGTTCTGTGTCATCCTTATAATGGTTCCTATGTGTCAGCCAATCCATCTTATTGAAGGACATGCTCTTATTCACTGCCCCTCTACTTTACCAAGCAAGATATCCTTCTACAGCAGCGGTTCTCAACCTGTGGGTCGCAACCCCTTTGGGGGTCAAATGACCCTTTCACAGGGGTCATCAAAGACCATTGGAAAACACATATTTCAAGGACTGTTTGTTGGCTTTTAGGAGTGTTTTCCGGTCGAGTCTGATAGGGTACCATGCCCTGGACCCAAAGTTTATTTTCAGTGTTCCCTGGGGACTTTGTTGTTCTTTTCCCCTTGCTGTTCTGTTGTATGCCCTTAATGTTTTGCCTCGGTGTGGTGGAATCAGATCGGGATAAATTCCCACACTGTGTCTCCAGTGTTGTCCCATGTAGGGCTACGGTCAGTGAGGGAAGTCATGTCTCATAGTGGGGCCAGCCATATGGTCTTCTCTGTGCATTGGCTACTCGGAGCGGGAATCTCGTCATCAAGGCTTGGTGGGCCAAGATGTGCTCCACTCTCTCTCCCTCCCCCTTCACGTATTCCCATGTGCTCTTATCAGACACGTCCCTCTCCTTGAGCTGCAGCTTCAGTGCTGTCCTCTGAAATAAATTCTTCTTGGGGGAGGGGCAGATGTCCATGTAGTTGGGATTGGGGCTGGCCCCTCAGACCTCTCTACTGGTGAAAATAAAATTTACATGTTGCCTACCTTATCTGCTTTCTTTGAGGAACATGATATTGAACCACACAAAATGATTATGATGATAATTTCTGTGAAAGAACACTTGCACATGCTTGCAGATGAAATTTCTACTTTCCAAATCTACCTGACACCCCATCTGCAGTTGCCAGAAGCCCATCCACACTCAAAGTTGAGGATGTTCCTGAGACAGCACAAGAGGAGTTCATTGAAATTATTAACAGCGACAACTGGTGTCTCTACAATGCCAGTTACAAAACTCTGGAACAAGTGTGTGCAGTCATATCCTGTTCTATTTGAGACTGTGTTGCACCTTCTTCCATTTCCAACAACATATCTTTGTGAAACAGTTTTCCAACTTGTTGATTATCAAGTCTAAATACAGAAGTGGACTTGTTGTGGGAGATAATCTTCATTGTGCTCTTCCAAAGACTGCCCCGAAAATTTCTGATGTGGTGAGAAAGAAGCTATCTCAACCTTCACACTGACGTTGACCTTTTATGCATACTGTCACAAAATGTAGCAATGAAGTCTACTGTTGTTATATTAAGACTGTTACCCATGTTATACCATGCTTCAAGAAAAATTGTATTTATTTGTAATTAGAAATATTTCACAATAATTGCATATTGTTTTTGTGATTAATCACTATGCTTTAATTATGTTCTATTTGTAACAATGAAAATACATCCTGCAGATCAGGTATCACATTACGATTCATAACAGCAGCAAAATTAGTTATGAAACAGGAACAAAAATACCTTTATGGTTGGGGGTCACCACAAAACGAGGAACTGTATTAAAGGGTCATGGCATTAGGAAGGTTGAGAACCACTGTTCTACAGGAACTAGTCTCTCCTGACAATGTGTCCAAAGAACGTACAACAAAGTCTTGACATTTTTCTCTCTAAAGAGCATCATGGCTGTATTTCTTTCAAGACAGATGTACTGGTTCATTGGCAGTCCATGGGAACTCAATATTCTTTGCCAGCACCATAATTCAAATGCACTGATTCTTTGTCAGTCTTCCTTATTCAATGCTCAACTTTCACATGCATAATAGGCAATTGAAAATACCATGGGTTGAGCCAGGCACACCTTAGTTCACAAAGTAAACTTCTTGCTTTTCAACACTTTAAAGAAGACTTGTTCATTAGATTTACCCAATGCAATTTACTTATTTCTGACAATATTCTGCTTCTAGAAAACAAACAATAAAGTAATAGAATTATACAATGTGGCAAAAGACCTGAGTTAAAAGAAAATAAAACTCAGTCATTGAGTAGCTGGAAGACAATTACTCTAACTACAATGGATGAGAGCAACAATCAACAAAAAAGACAAAAGAATCTGTAGAAAGCCAAAGAATGAGGTGGGACACTATCAAAAGACATAACTTATGTTTTATCACATTCCAATAATAAAAAGAAACAAAAAATCTACAGAGAAATAACATAAAAAAATCATGGAAGAAAATTTCCCCAACATCACAACAGATAAAATAACTAATCCTACAAACGAGTAAGGAGAAACTTGGATTTCTCAGGAAGAACTGTACAAGAAAAAAGACAGTGGAATGGCATATATAAAATTTGAAAGAAAATAACTGCCAACCAAGAATCCTATATCTAGCAAAATTACCTTTCAAATATGAGAGAGAAATAAAGATATTTCGAGACAAGGAAAATTGAAAGAATTTGTGAAAACAAGACTAGCAAAAGGAAAAATATTAATGAAATCACTATGGACAGAGAATCAACAACAATAGCAGAGAATCTGAGAATAACATACAGGGCATAACAAGCAGAAACCAATACAATGAAAACACCATCACCACAGAATACAGAATTACAGGGCATACAAGTGAATCCATGAAACCACCACCAAGAAAAAAGGAAACACAGACAGCAAAAAGAGAGCAACACATTTCAATAATGAAAGAAAATGAATGTCAGTGAATTAAATGCACCAATCAAGAGGCAGAGTAGCAGACTAGATTGGAAAACAAACCCCATCTACATGATGCCTACAAGGAACACACCTTAACCTCAAACATTAAAAAAAAAAAAAATCCAACGAAACTCATTGCTATCAAGTCAATGCTGACTTGTGACCCTCATAGGACAGGGTACAACTGCCTGTGTGGGTTCCTGAAACTATGACTGTTTATGAGAAAATAAAGATTCCCCTTTCACAGAGCAACTGGTGGATTTGAACTACTGACCTTGTGGTTAGCAGCCCAACACATAAGCACTATGCCAAAACAGCCTAAAAATCAAAGAATGGAGAAAAATTTACTAAGCCAATTGTAAACGTCAAAAATCAAGAGTGACAATATAATCTCTGATGAAATAGACTTCAAATAAAATAGCATAATGAGACTAGAATGGATATTTCATAATGATTAAAGGAACAAGTGAACAAGAAGGCATACGCATAGTAAATATACATGACCCAAATGAAAGACCGTCAAAATATACCATTCAAATCCTTAGAGATGAAGAGAGAAATAGACAGGTCAGCAATAATGGTAGATAGCAAGGAAAAACATATCATCAGGAAAGAAACTCAACAAAGAAACAGAAGAACTACACAATACAATCAACCAATTTAACTTCCTAGACACATACAAAGTACTCTACTGAACAACATAGTATATGTTCTTCTTAGTGTGCATGGTACACACCCTAGAATAGACTTTATGTTGGGGCATAAAGCAAGCCTTAATAAATGAAAAAACACAGAGATCCTACCATCTATTTTCTCAAACCACAATGCTATAAAACTAGACATGAACAACAGAAAGAACATAAAGCCATACACATGTATACTGAACAACACAATACTTAAAAATGACTGGAAAATTTTTAAAAGACTGGAAAAGATAGTAAATAAGGGATGAAATTAAGAAACTCCTTAAAACAAATGAGAACAATAGCACCACATGCCAAAACCTTTGGGACACAACAAAGGAGCAATTTATAACAATTAAAAAAACACATGAAAAAAGGAAAAATCCAAAATCAACACCTTAACACAACACCTCTAACAACTAAAAAAAGTGAAACAACATAACTCCTCCAAATAACACGTGAAACAAAATAAAAAATGAAACAGTAAAACAATTTTAAAAAATCAACAAAATAAGTTGATCTTTGAAAGGATTAACAAAACCGACAAATCGCTGGCAAACTTAACAAAGGAAAAGGGACGAATCAGGATGAAAAGGGCAACATCATGACAGATCCAAATGAAATAAACAGAATAATAACACATTGCTATAAAAGACTTGTACTCCAAAAAGTGTGATAACCTTGAAGATAAGGACAAGTATCTAGAAATACAACATCTACCCAAATTAACATAGACTGAGGTACAAAACCTCAATAGATAAATAATAAATGGAAAAATT